TATATATCGTTTGTTGCTAATTACTATTTTTATTATTAGTTTTAGTGGTACTGATACTATTACTATAATATTTATTGTTATTACTATTATTTTTGATCTTCTTTCTATAATTATAGATGCCTTTATTGAAACTTTTTGGCATCAATGTTATGACTGTGATATTCTAATTGCCCTTTTGTTTTTTTCTATTTTCACAGTTTCTTATAATTTTCATTTGTGTGATTATTTCATTATTCATTATTCATTATTCATTATTTATTATTCATTATTCATATTATTCATCACTGTTATTATAACTAGCCTTGATTTATTTATTTAGTGCTGCTATTGTGGTTAGATATGTGAAGGTTTTCTCCAACAATTGTATAATTTGAATTAACTCGCCAATTTTGTTCTTTGAAAATTTCATGTGGTAATTTAAGCAAGAACATTGGCTGTGTGGCTGAGGCTAAAGGAAACACTGTTTTATACCAGCCCCCCCCCCCCTCTTAAGAAATAATAATAATCAGACACATGTGATTACTCAATTGTATCAAATGTTGCTAAATAAACAGGCATTTAGGCCCGTAGGAGCTATTATTTTTCTATTCATTTGGCTAAATATTTTTTTTATTTGAGAAGAAATGTCGATTCACGGCAACCCTTGACTGCTGAATACATAGGAATCAAAATGTTGAAAAAGTTTAGCAGTTTTCTGGTGTTCTTTCCTTGGCAACCTGTCCACCTACAGCTGTTTATGGAAATTTCAGAAGCAATCAGAATTTGAATTCCGATTCAGATATGTTACCGTCTGCTGCTCAACTTTTGAAGCGGGTGTTGATGGTGCCTCCGAAGCACTTCACCGTTGAGGTTTGCAGTTCCTAACTCAGGGCTAATTGTTAGGTATTATATCAGAATTTTTCAGTACAATATCAATCCATGGATGGGAGGAGTGGTCGATAAAGTGAAAGCTTTTGCGCAATGGAATGCACTGAAATCGGCCATCGAAAAAGAAGGTGTAGAGGTGGGACAAAAACGAAGTTTACTCACTGTGACCAAAATTCGAGCCCTGATTTCAGGTCTTTCAGACATCCTTCATAGAATTACCGCAAAATATGTTCTGAAGAAGGAGTGGTGTAGCCGCATGCCCCACTAAGCGCACTTTACGAGAGTCGGATCCAAGATCGGATCCCCTTAGCCCATCCAGGTCTCTATTCCTCCCTGGTCTGTCCACTGGTACCATGCTTGTGTGTGAGGAACAATACAATGCGATACACTGCTTGA